AAAATTAATTATCAGTATAAGTGATCGACAAAAGGCAACTCCGAAATAGGAATATTCAATGGTCTCGGAGTCAAAATCGTAGCGACAGTCTAGATACTAGAATACTAAATCGTAATGCGATAATATAGCGATTCGAGATTTTAAGGGAAAGAAATGGTAAAAAATGAGAGTATAGCAGATACCGATGTAACACGATATCACGATTTGAACTTTCGATCCTTAACATTTCGCTTCTATGTATAATGATGTGAACATCGTCAGACTTTCTACGTGATACACAAGCTTCTCTCTACGTGCATCAAATGCATTTCACCTTGGGAGTCTAATTGTCGCACTCGACATTATGCATTCAGCAGCTTAAGAATTCGAACCGCGCGGAAGTTGAGTCTCGCAAGAGAAATACGCGGAGGGAGAGAGAGAGAGAGAGAGAGAGAGAGAGAGAGAGAGAGAGAGAGAGAGAGAGATCAGAGAACACTCGCTATTACGAACACTCGCGTCGCGCTCCATCTTCGTTAACGCCGTTTCCTTGTCCATCCAATAATTCATACGTCTTTTCAGACACGGTACGATGTGGTAATTACGTTCTGAGAGATTAGGCCCTAATGGACGCGCGCGCGCGCAGCATCTAGGTAGCTCGATCGTCTTCCGCGCGGCTCGTCGTGGACGCGCAAAATTAATCTTCGTCGCGTAATTCAGACGCCGAACACCCGTACCCGTAAGTAGACTGGTAGTCGTTTAGCAGCTATACGAACGTTCGTGCCGGGTGGCCGTAAACGACTTGTCAGTCGAGTGATATACGGGATACGGGCCTATGGCGGAGAGTCGAGCCGTTCGAAGTATCGCAACGAGTAATTGACTGCGCTCTGCTTGCTCCGATTAATTAACTTTCAGTACTTTGTCGTTTCTCGCCATTCCGATACAGCGGACATTTAATGAATATACCTTCGGAGCTGTCAATATTCCCTCCATATTCTATTTTCCGAACTTCACTCTTTGTTCCTTTTTCTTAATTATTTTTAATCGAAGAACCTCACACACACGCAATAGAATTTTTTTCTTAACGATCGACATCGTTATATAAACCCCAACGTCGGCGTGCATTAAGCGTAAAAATAACTTCAGTTTATTCAATTATCTCCTTTGCATTTATTTACTTTTCACTATTCTTTACAAAAAAACTTTTAAAAAATGCAATACAGCTATTTGCGTCCCACGCGCTTCTCCTACCCCTTTCACACTGCGAAACGAAATGAAAAGCTAGTCATTTTTAAATGTAACACTCTGAAGGTATTTTCCATTACAATTTGGTTAATTGCTCGTAATGTTTAGTAAATAGGAATATTTATTGATGCTCGTTTTATCGGTTTATTTTAGTAGTCCATTAACGCATTACTGCATTTAAATAGTTAATTACTCCGAACGTTGTCAGGTATAATTATAAAATTACTGTACCATTGTGATGTTATTATATCGCGGTTATTTTAAGTTTATTATGAGCGCGCGGCTCATAATAAATTTTTTTCCCAGAGACATTTACTTAATACAAAATATAAAAAAAACTATGATATTGGTTTAGCATTAATCTTTTTACAGATTTTAAATAGCACTGTATCATCGTGTTAAATAATAAAAGCACCGTGCATTAATTGACGTTGCGAAGTAATACGAATAATCGAGCTTCTAATTCCGTTATTACATAGTTGGCCTTAGTATGGTCTGTTCATTTTGCGGTCCATTAAAGCAATTCCGTATATTTAAGCTGGTAATTAATTTGGGCGTGACACGTGTAATCGCAAAATGTCGCCGTATCTGCATATTGCGCGCCATCGAATGTTATTAATTACGACTCGCGTTACCCCTATCAATATCAATAGCGCGTTAATTAGTTTATTACCCCCTGAAATTTGCGCGTTCGACTCGACCGTTGTCGTCGTCGGACCGTAATCGCCAATCGGAAGAAAATGCCGATAACGTGCAGGATAATCTCGCGAGACGATGTGCAAGTTGCGAAGTTGACTTAAACGCGGAAGGACTTTCGCGTGGGCGATAAAATAACGAGCGCACGTCACGACTGCTAAATGTCAGCGAAATATTTTCAATGCGCCTCATCTAGCGGCGCTATAAGTTGAGTAAACGTGTCTTGCACAGAAGATTGTAATGGTGTTGGCAGTTTGCTCTGAGGCCACTGAATTATAAAAGCTTTCTCGCTTTGAAATTTCTATCCTGTGTGTTGCGCGCGCGCGCGCGCGCGAGTGTGTGCTTTATGATTATATTCGTGGCGGATTTCCGATGTTTCTCGAGGGATTGAAGGAGCGTCTCTGTTAAAATTTCGAACGCGATAGATTTGTACGTTCGCGAGGTGTACCTCTCTTACGTGAGAAAAATGACCCTGGTATACAAATGCAAATACGGAAGTTTCGCACGTACGTTTTGAAAATGTAATGCGTGGATAAAGAATAAGTGTACGCGCGCGGTATAAGTTGCTTACTCAGTGAATGAGGAAAACGTGTCGGCAAACGTAATGTCGTATAAGCACCGTACGTGCGCGATCCCCCCTAAGTTTTCACGGGAGATTTTATCGCGAAGTTTCCGCGGAACTTTCCTTCCCCCAGAAGTCGCGCCTCTGTTTGAAATAACGGCGAAGGAATAAGAAGAAGAAGTACCGACGAAATTAATGCGCCGGTCCCGCGCCTACGCCGAAAAGTTTTTCGTAATGACTAGATTTCGCGCCACTTCGTTGCTTTAATTAACGAGCCGCAGATTTACAGATTCCGGCTCGTGAAACTTCTCGCAAAATTTCACGTTTCACCGGTAAATTTCTACCTGTTCTAGATGGAAGTGCCTCTATTTTTCATTTAAAAAAATAATGATATCACAAAGTTGCTCTTTAAAAAGTATTTAACGCAAAAAAACTTGGTGCTGCTAGAGCTTTTGTGATTAGGGATGTTGTATACTTTATGTTCTAACAGCGCCAAGTTTTTTACGTTAAGTTTTATGTTAATTTTTTAACGCATTTTTTTAACGCATGTCAGAAGCTGCGATAATAAATGTTCGATAATTTACACGCCACGGATTCATTCAGAAAATACGTCTTGCAAATTGCGTTCGGAAATTTTCGAATTTCCGCGGGGATTCATTTGCATGCGAAGATAATATTCATATGAGACGAAAAATAACGTGGCGTAATAAAAAAAAAAAAAAAAATATTCGTACATCGTCGTTCAATTTACGTGAGAAAATACACGGGCGATGTTCTTGCAGTTAAATCAATTATTTTAAATCGTACCATTTCAGCTTTCAGCTTCAAAAAGCGCATCATTTGCCGTTTATTGCATTCTGGCAAAAAAATTATTCTCTGTCAATAAAAGTTGCCCAATAAAGCCTTTATCGACTCCGTCAAACCAAATATCCACCAGGCATCGTATAAAATACGTTTTATTCATCATGTCGATCGCGCCCAACAAAACAATTAACGATATCATCACGATAATTCATCAACGTTGCCGATGGTCATATTTTCTGTACGCATATACTGTATCCTCCCGTTACATGCCCGCGCCTTCGTATTTTGTGTTTAATTTACGTAACATGAGATATAAACAGATGTTCAATTTCCTAGTTATTATTTCGGTTTTTACGTAGTTTCCCAATAAATAATCATATAAACCGGTATCGCGCATTTCAATCGCGATATATAATTTCCAATTTTTGCTGCCGGATCTTCTTTCATTCGGAATGAACTGCGAAATATTTTTTTTTCCACGTGTTCGCGAGTGAAAGGCCCTCCTACATTGCTTACTTTCGCGACATACAATACCCGGTCGTAAATTAATTCTCTCTTTCTCTCTCTCTCTCTCTCGGAACCGTTTTAGACCTACGCGAATCGATAATATATGCACGGCCTATATGGAAGAGGTGTTACGTGCGATGAGAGACATGCTCCCGTCGGCGCATCAAAATGCACGTCGCAGTTACGGGGAATTAGGCAGGCCAATATAATGCATCCCCTCCGAACTATGCACTTATCTGGGTCATCTTCCTCGTAGAGAATGCTCATGCTGTGATGCGTAGATATATAATGAATGTTCTCGGAAATCCTTTGGGCATTTAATTGTCTATTTAGGAATATGTGGGATTGAATACATAATACTTACACATGATTACAGTAGTAGCCTAAGTCATCTCTTCTGCTCAAAATAATTAGATGTTAATAACGTTTTGTGTATTAAAAGATACTGTTTAATAGTTTAACTATATATATATATATATATATATAAAATCATTATATATTTTATTATTATTAAATTGTTTCTTTCTCCTGAGAGTGCACAAAAAGTTATAACAGCAAGTCGATGTATATTAAATCATTACGTATTTTATTATTATTCAATTCATGTGTACGTATTCGTACATAAATATGGTTAGTTTGATATATATTGACTTCGTACACGTAGTACGACTTGCTGTAACTTTTTGTACACTCTCGGAAGAGAGAAACGTAGTTTCAAGCAATTAAGTTCGTAGTTCTATAGCATTGTACTTGTCCTTTTAACGTACCACGCGAGAAACTCGGGAGAAATTTTCAGAGTTTTGTTGCTTCTTCGAACTTCTAATCTAATAGACACAATATTAGTCTTTCAAGAAGGTAACGTTTTTGCGACTGCTAATGATCCTCGAGGCAAACCATTTTTTTCTACGTCGCAAAGTTGCGCTTTTAATTTTTAAACGTGCAGACATTTTTCTGAAATACTGCAGTTCAAATTAAAGAAAGTTTACGAGTTATTTAAACATATTTTTGAATAATTAGCACATAATTTATTTCAGTATATTTTACTTTTTACGTCGCACACTTTTTTGTTAAAGACTCGTGTTACAGAAACGCGTGATTTAATTAGATATTAATGTACTGAAAATAAATATTGACGCTAATAATTTTTGCAAATGTTTCTTAACGAAAATGTTCGACGGACGACGGGAATGAAAAATGCACTGTGTCGCAGGGGATGTGAGGGGGTGTCGCCGTGATGTTACATCGAAGCGCTTCGTCGCGGCGCCGGCGAGCGTCGCCGAACGTGGCAAACTCGAGCCAGCCGGCATCTTCGACGATGCGAGGTCGACGAGCGAGCGTAGCCACTGATAAACCCCTTATCCTACCGCCAAGTAGCCCCGGCGGAACGATGGAAAGGCAGCGGTCGCCGAGGGGCAGCATGGTGCCGAATATCGCTCTGGATACCGAGAGCGACTCCCCCGACGAGGTTAGTATATTCACCCTCTCTCGTATCTCTCTAACATCAGTGTAATTTATTTATATATATATTCAAATCGTTACTGCTTCCAGTATACATTGCAGCGACATGATATATTCCCTTTCCCCTCCCGCCAATTATTTTGGTATATATTACGGAAGGCCGAACGCAAAATGTCGAAAACTCATTTTTTCCGGAAAGGTGTGTGAAAACCTGATTTATTATTTTTAAAATTGTCACGAGTAACGATTCGAGCAATTGGATTTGAACGGTTTGACGATAGTGGCGATCGCGCAAAGCGCGGAAAGTAATATCGTTTAATTGAAATTCTCAGTCAACCGAGCATCGAGCCTGAAATATGCAGCAGATTTCGTTCTTTTTTTTTCCCCTCTTGTTTTTTTCCCATTCCCTTCAGGCTACGCAATGTTACACGGAATATTCAATTACTCAAGGGATACTCGACTGTACAGGTGTTTGACATTGTATTCGATCGATATGAGCGCCGCGTATATCCATCGACGAAACCAGATACGAACTTTTTTTGTCACGCATGTTACACATCAGTTTATCCACAAAATTTTGAGGTCATGAAATTTTCACGGCGCGACGGACGGTTGGCTATCCGCGTTGTTATTCATTAGCAGATGATTGGCGCGACATAGGCATGCGTTTTCGAAAGTTATCGGTTGGCTTTGGACAGCAATCGCTAAAATGATTAAAATACGTTCACTTCAATCATCGAGTGTTTCCAACGTGTTACGCGAGTGTATATGGAGCTTTGCCTCCACATGCGAGTGTAAATTTATTCCTACATGTTAATTCCTATATGTTAATTAAACTAGATATATTGCAGAGAGAGAGAGAGATGTGGATTGCGCGTAACATTAACACACATATTTGCAAAATTTTCAAGTAAAATCAGAAAAATCAATTAACCTGAATAACTAGAAATTAATCAGTTTGTAAAGAGAAAAGTGACTCTCTAATTCACTCAAGTGACGAGCTAATTATTATTATTATTCCCGATAGGGTATTTCAAAGGGGACAAGCGAATGCGATCTCTCTTTTTTTTTTTTACAGAAACTTCATGTACAATTGACGATTAATTTCTCTTCCAATAACTTCCCGTTTCTACTACCATCAATTAAGTAAATACTGGGATGATGCTCTAGAATCTATGGTGCTCCATTTCAGGGAGTTTGTCGCAGGATCCTGCCGGATCCCGAACAGTATGGCACCGGCCGCAACTCCCTGGCGCCCGAGGCGAGCCGCAGCCCACGAAACTCTCTGATACCTGACGATTACTGCAGAAGCCCGCGGGGCTCCCTAATACCAGACCCGAGCAGGAGTCCACGCAATAGTCTAGTGCCCGACATGGTGCGGTCGCCGCGAAACAGCCTGACGCCGGAAGTCTCTCTCAGCCCGCGTCACTCCCTGGTGCCGGACTTGGCGCTCAGCCCGCGGAATTCCCTGGTGCCGGACGTGGCCTACAACCGGAGTCCACGGAACAGCATGGTGGCGATCGGCGGCTCGAGGGTGTCCCTCCTGCCGGAGAACGGTAACGCGATCATCGCCGCCGCCGGTCGCAGCCCCCGGCACTCGCTGGTGCCGGACTCGACGAGGAGTCCGCGCGGCAGCATGGCGAATCTGGACTTCGACCGCAGCCCGCGCGGCTCGATCTGCCCGGAACTGCACAGAACGCCCAGGGGCAGCATCACGCCGATGGAAGTCGTGGACAGGAGTCCGCGCGGCTCGATCGTTTCGGAGTGTCTGAACCAGAGCCCCCGCGGCTCTATCGTGCCCGATTCCAACCGATCGCCCAGAGGATCGATAGTGCCGGATTCGAACCGGTCGCCGCGTGGATCGATCTGCCCGGACAGCAGCAACAGGAGCCCGAGGGGCTCGATTGCGCCGCACGACCCGACGAACCGGTCGCCGCGAGGAAGTATAGGCGTGAATGACGTCGACAGACACTCGAGAGGCTCTCTCGGTGCCGTCAACGACGACGAGAACAGAAGTCCCAGAGGAAGCATCGGGCCTGAGGGGATCAATAGAAGTCCTAGAGGTAGTCTCGGTGGACATCAAGACAGAAGGGCGCCGAGGGGCAATCTGGGCTTGCAAGATCCTAGAAGAGCTTCCGCGGATCAGGGTGAGACTTTAGAACCTTTAAATATTCTTCACCCCAAAAAAATATTCTATTTGTAAATTGGGAATTCTTTTTAACATTAATTTCCTTTATGAAAAAAATCTTACACAAAGCATATTTCTCTATAAAGACATATTCATCTATGAAAAAGTGAACGCATGTATCAATTAAGATTATGATCAAGAATTATGATATTCCTTTGCATTTTAGAATATCTTCTTGAGATCAAATGTTAGAGAAAAATCCTCTAGAAATAAAGAGGATATCACTAAAGAATAGAATATTTTTTTTTAGTGTTAATTATTCGATATTATCAATTTAAATTTTTAAAAAATTAATTATTAAAATATAAAGTTATTTTTTAAATTTCTAGGAATAATTACTGCTATTATATAAGACTGCTATTATGAAAAAAATGCAGTTATTAAGCTTCGAGTTATGTACTTTTTTCTGTTAAAGAGTAAATAATCAAATGTTACGATAGCGGAATCGTTGAAGACTTGCAGTCTCCGCGTATTGCGACTGACGTTGCGTAACCTCGACGCGAAAACGTAGCTCTTGAACCGTACCTAAACCGCAATGATCTGCATCCGCATACCGAAATGCAGATATAACCCGATCGCGAAATTATAGCATCGCGGTGAAACGCAACGCGATGTGCAAAGGAAACGTTTGCGCTCGCCGCAAATGCGGTCAGATTGTGCCAATAATATGCCTACATGCGCGACATGTCAATCATACATGACGGAATTAAACGATTGCCCGCCTAGTTCAGTTATTGACTCGAGAAATGTACGATCACGACTAACGGGAAGTCGCTGTATCGGAGGCGAGTAGAAAACAAGCTCATTTTATAAAAATAATAATATAATCTTTATATTCCAAAGATCGAGTATAAATTTTATCGCGTGTATCGCATATTGAAATAAATAGATATTTTAAAAATACTCAATGCTTTTATCTATTTTCTGCTAGTCGGGCAATTATAAGCGAAGCCGTTTTATATATATGTACATATATATACGGTATATAAGGATGGGCCGTAAAATATACACCAACGAGATTCCACGCAAGCGTTTCCTTACGTTCCCCGCGCGTTTGTCCGGCTGAGAATCTGCCTCGAGGCAGCAAGTATCTTCCCTCCACCTCGGGGGAACGTAATGGCAATTTGACGCTCATTAACGTACAACTCGAACGTCAGGTCTCCGGAGAGGCCGATTAGTTTTCGTTCGTTTCACCCGTGTGTGTTACTCGGGGCATCGAGAGCGCAGGGGCCGCGTATAATATATCTCGCGCAGTGACGGAAATTGGTCGCCGGGCGATACACACTCCTCCTCGCGCGCTCTCCCTTTCCCCCTCCCCCCCCCCGTGTCGATGCACCGTTGCGCGACACCGAGATATTGCACCACCCGATACTTCTCACTTGAGATCTCTGCGGCGGATGCGATAGACATTCGCACCCTCGGAGTAAGCGTGACGCAAGCGAGCGGAAGGAATGGATCTGCCAAGAAATGTAAAATAATATCGACAAGCCGACAACGCGATTCCGACGCGAGATTTCGTTAAGTAACAACGTCGATATCTATCCTCCTTAATTTTCTGTCTTCTCCTGCTCGCGCAGTTCGATTTATTGCGACTTAATCAGGTCAGGACGAATGCGAGGTGCCTTTGAATTTCGCATAAATCTTTCGACAGTGCGTCGCAAGTAGGTATATAATACTCGGAATTAATGCGTGATGCTCGAAATTAATGAGCAGCAAGATTACTGAATTGGCAGCAAGGTATTAAGTGATATACAACTAATTTCCTCAGCTTAGATTTTCATCAGCTTGATTTCTCGCTATGTTTGATATGTAACTCACCAGTTTCTCCCTCATAAAAATTCAGCTTTCGATCGTATATCGATTATATCAATTGCCGTAAATCACGAGTCATATTTTTGGCAAGCTCTCTCCATGCGGAGACTTCATTAGACTTAAACGTAACGTGAGCCAAATTGCTATTGGCGGTTGGAAAACCCACATATACAGTTGATATAGCAGCATTAAACCTCCTAAGTCGACCTATGCAAATTGATTCGCCACAATCTTAGATATATGCGCGTGCAAATATATGTATATATAACCGTGGGTGTGTATCTTGCGGTGATAATTCGCCGCTAATAATTCCCGAACGAGATAAAACATCACGAGAGAAGCGGAGAAAACTCAATAATTCCGCACGTCAAGACGGCTTTCCTCTTTTTATCGCGCCACGCGAGCGCGAACGGCAAAGAAAACGAAACGCGCGGGGAGGGCAAGTAAGAGACATTTGCCCCAGCGAGTAATTAACGTCACGCGGGCAAAGGGTTACGTTTCGGTCGCGCAAATTGGCCTGATTTTGTCGCACGTGCACACGATGCTTATTAACGTTAGCACACCAGAGCCAACACGCTGAACCGCCGTCGGTCACGAGATTGAAATATGCGTCTGATATATATATTTTCCTACTTACCCACTTGGCGCGGACTGGTCGCGTGCGTGTTCTCAGACGGCCAGATCAAACCCGCCGGTCAGAGCACGAGTTTCTCCTTGAACAGTCTGAAACGGAAAAAAATGCAAATAAAACAATGAATAATTCATTACAATTTTGCAATTGTTCTGATTTTACAAGTATTATTATAATAATGTATCGCTGTAAGAAAAAAAATCGTATTAAGTCATTTTCTTAGCGATTTTATCGCGCAAATCCACTCGCCCTCCATGTGATTATCGTCCCTCGAGATCGATACGACAAGATCGACCTGTTTACCGAGAGCTACCGGCGCGGCGCGGCGCGGCGCGCCGCAAGCGAAGTCGATGAATTTCGCGGTACGAGATATACGTTGCACTACTTCATACAACAATCGAAATCTCTCCGGCAGATGGGATTTCGTATTCTGTAAATTGAAAGCGCGCGCGGATTCATCGCGCGAGGCGGCGCGCGAAGCGGCGCGCATTACGCGGAAGCTTGTTGACAAAGATATCTCATCGCCCGAGTTTGCAGTGCATGATGTCTCTTTACAACGCGAGCGCGCGTGATTCGCGTGCAAATGGAGAATACAAATTAAATTGCGCACTAACACTGTTAATTGGCGCGCCGTTTGCCATTGTTCGTAACTGCATAGCTATCTAGTGTTCATTAATTGCAAACCTGCCGAAACAAAAGCGGGCCGAAAACTGCCGGTCGTAATAATATAATTACAAAAAGTTCAAACGTGAAAATAAATTGGATACAGGCTCGTCTATTCCGTTTAGAAAATGTCAGTCGGGTTAAGTTTATATAAAATTTTACGTAAAGAATTTTGCCGATCTGTTGCACATGAATTGTAATTCGTATAGATAATATTGACAATACATCCCGATTGCAGAAAACAGACTGCAAATCGATGCGAAGTAGAAGTATCTTTTATCAAATATATATTGCCAAGTAAGTTTGAAGAATACGGGACTCTATTTTGCGATTTTTCTTTCGCCCGCGCGGGCCGTTCCGTCGTCGTGTCCTCATAAATAATCGGAATATACCGCGCGTAAGAAATTTTGCGGGATATTTTTCGCTCTCGCGCATGAAATTTCACGAGAGGCAGTTCGAATAAATTCAAATATTTGCGCTTGTGTGTCCAGGGAGCACGAGAAACCGAAGTTCCTCGCCTTATCGCCAAAGAGAAGTGAGCTCGGGAAGCGTCAGATCGGGCGGAAGCGGTGGTGCACAGGTCAATCTGGGATATGGAACGAATGCCTGGGCCGATTCCAGGCGAGCCAGCAGCTCCGTTTCGCAGGTAACCGTGCCTTCTCTATCTCTCTTTTCCTTCGTCTTCTCTCTCTCTCTTTCTCTTCTCTCTCTCTCTCTCTCTCTCTCTAATCATGCCCGCGATCTCGCCTTGCAACGTTCAAGGAATTTCTTTCTCGGCCACGCCGTTATGGTGCACGCCCCAGTTGTGTTACGAGTGTTTCGGAATTTCTCGCCCGAGCGACGGAAATGGGCGACTGGGACGCTCTCCATCTTTATGACTCAACGGGTTATATACGCGGGGCGCGGGCAACTCGGGCAACACGGGCAGTACATACTCGAGGTTGCAATTTGTCATTTATCATCCGCTGCGGTAATTACGATGAAGTGAGGCAGTCGCAGGAGGAGAGTGAGAGAAAGAGAGAGAGAGAGAGAAAGATACAGAAAGCATGACGCTCATACTCTTTTTATTCGACGGAAGTACGCTAACAAGGCAACTTTCATAAACCACGAGTTGTGAAAAGAGGGGAAAAAAGGGTGAAACTTTTTTCGAACGCAGTTTGACAAAAGTATGTTATATTTTTTTACAAAATTATTTTTGTCGACACGATTAAAATGACCTATACGATTAAAATATTGTCTTAAACATTGAGAATAACATTTCATGCAAGATTGATGAATGTACTTTGTTAGTTGATTTTTTGCTTGGAGTAAAACAACTAATAGATAATATTTCTTAGATATCATAACATTTTTAAATTTCAAATTTTAAAATGTAAATAAATATGTATTTATTTATTCCAAAAAAATTTATAATATTATTTAAAAATAAGGGTAAGTCAAATATGTATCCACACACACATATTTACATTATGTCTTCTTGCAGTGTAAATTGTTAATGAATTTAATTTTACTAATGTTTCGTGAATGCGATTAAGAAATTATTGAAAGCACTAGATTTTCTTAAAAATTATACGACGTAGACAGATCGTAGATTCATGAGTATGAGTATGTAATGTAAAACAGAAAGGATTCAAACGGAAGGTTCGGATTCTCGCGGGAATTCTATTCTAAAAATATTGCTCTTTATCGAATAAATTTTCGTCGAGTCAAAAACCGATCGAGGCGAGGTCTTGTAATAGCGTTATTTTCCACCTTTTTTTCCCGTCGCTTATCCTTGTAGAATCTTCAAAGTAATTTTCTTCGTTATTGCTCCAGGGACGTCGCGTCGACTTCTCGTGCAAGACTTTCTACACAATTTTATTTTTAATGGCAAAATTTGCTTAAGTTCGATTATAAAAGCGGGAAATGAGCTGAGAACCTGTTCATGAAGTGAACGCGATGAAAGGCAGACGCGAAACCACCCGTCCCGAAAATAGTATCTCTATCTTACTTAAGATAGAGATACTCAGAAAAAGCGTTACATTAATTACAATGTAGAATGAAGTTACGACGATAACGCCACTTATTTTCCAGAATTGGTCATTTATCTTTTTTGTTAATGACACGAACCATAGAAAATACCCTTCTCCCATATATATACATATATATACATATATATACTGCACTTTAGTGGAAAAGTTTTCCCACTAAAAAAGAAGCTTAAACGATCTGGAATTGCACTTCGGACTGGTTTTCCGGTGCAGACACAGCACGGCACACGATATGTTGCCGCAACGCACGCAAGGCGAGGTCGGGTGAATGACGATACGAGCGATAGCTTTCACCGCGAGATCCTCCACGCCCGTATCCCTGGTGACTTGCCCATTGCTCTTTGATGGAAAAACTCTAATGAGTACAAAAGAGCTTTCTACGAAGATAAATATGCTTAACTATGTTAAACAAACAAGATTTTAAAAAAAGTTATTTAATAAAGAAATGTATATAGTGTTTTAAAGAGCTTTGATAAAATTTTCCTCTTTACATTTTTCTTACAATTAGAAAAACTTCTTTAAGAAAATTTCTTCTTCTGAAATTTCTTCGAGGTATGAAAAAATGAATGATGTACGTTGCGGCTTTGTGAACTTGATGACGAAGGGCGGGACAAATCCGTACGATGACTAACGTGGTTTCGCTGTTAAAGCAATTATTATAAGCGCATGCTATTACTTTCCGAGAATTATAGTGTGAAGATGACGTACAGATCAGAAGGGTGTCGGCCTTCCGATCCGTGCTCGTGACAGCTTGAATTTTTCCTCGCACGGATCGCATCCGCAGCTTATTTCCGCGCTTATATCCGCGAAAAACGCGCGGGTACCTGAGACGTATATCCGAGGATCGCACGAAAGGATCTTATTCCGCAGAACGTAGAACGTAAGAGACGAAAGAGTCGACGAGAAAGAGGAGACGGCGCCTGCAACCGTTCGGCGAAGCTGTGCTCGTGTGCCTTTCAGGCTCGTTTATTGGCTCCGATTTACGTTGTATGGAAAGTGTAAACGGAATATAAATTGATCTCTGACGCGAAATCTACGCGGCGTATCAAGGAGGCACGGATAGATAAAAAGTATCGAAACCAATAATTAGAGCGTACCCGATGAAGTCGGGTTTCTCTTAAAATGTAAAAAGTATTGACTTTCATTTGCCGATAATTAAATTACTATGTAAAAACCTTTCGTACAGTAACTGAATTTTTATTAAGAAAAAAAAATCCGAATCCCCATCACATGAATGTTTCGAAAAATCTTTCAATGGAATAATTTATCTATTTTAGCTTGAAAGAGCTTTGAATGCACCGTTTTTACAAAAAAATTCGGACCGCCATTAATTCTTATTTCTGAATTACGAACGCGTTGGTTAACACGGGTTCCTACTAAAAGATGGAAAAAACTGCACTTGTTCCGTCGCTAATTGCATTACTTTGTAATCAGCGAAATACAGACGAAGCGGCAACGCACACTGACGCAAGGTAATGAAGGCAAAACAAAATAAAATTAAACTAATATTATTAAAATAAAATTGCAATAGGTAAAAAAAACGCAGAGAGAGAGAGAGAGAGAGAGAGAGAAGTTAAAATAAATTAAAAATTGGAATGTATCCTTTATTCTTATAGCTTTGCAAAAAATCTTCTCCGTGATAAAGTCTAATGTCACGTATGTGTGTGCTATTAATCAGAGTGAATGAATTCGCCGGTACAAAATTCTATTACGTTACGGGAGAAAATCTGATTTGAGCTGTCGCGTGTGCTTTCAGCTTTCAGGCGACGAGTCGCGCCGGCTTTGCGCCAGCGGCGCGAAGGCACCCGAGAAGGGTGACGCGGAGGCAGCGAATCTCGGTGTGGCGACGTACGGCTCGGTCGTGTTTCAGCTGAAAGACGCCCACCTCGAGGCGAACGGCATCTGCGACTTCGTCTTTCGCGCTCTGAGAGTAATCGGCAAGACGATGACGTTCACCATATGTCTGACCTGTTTGTCCACTGTGCCTATTTTGATGTTCATCTTCGGTGAGTGAACGACGGACACGGAGATTGCGGTTAGATGTGGATTACCAACAGTTTCGATTAATCTCGGTTGCGCGAATCGAGAGAGACTGAGAGATAGAGAAAGAGAGAGAGAGAGGGGTCTTTGAACGGTAATCGGCCATATATTGGATAATTTAATCACGAAGAAAATGTGTTCAGATAGTATAATGAATATTATATAACTGCAGCTGGATAAGTGGGTCAAAAACGACCTCACCGAAATTATAGTTCGATCCGTTTTACACTTCGGCTTACAAAAAGGCGATCGATACGTCCAGTATATAATATATATCTATGCTTAAGAACTATAACGACGAAGTCTCGTGAGACTTAGAGGAAGGCTATATAGCCTGTCTACTCTTTGATCTATGGCGCTTTTTAAAATTCAAGTATTGCCAGCGCCACTTTTTTTCAGTGTCTTTTTATCATCTTTTTTATCATACTTGTTTTCAATACGTTACACTTTTTCGATATCGCTTCTTTTAACGATTATACAAATATTTTATGCGTAAAAAGATTCGGTTGACGTAAAAAGGAAGAATGACGTATAATGAGTGATTATACAAGATGTTCCCTTTAACTTTCTTTGTGTTTCAATAAACTTCGCAAAACTTTGTAGCTTTCTCTGATGTAAATTTTTCCTCCGTTACATATCTCTCAGGAGAGTTGAAGCTCTTTTATTGCCCCTTTAACTCTCTCTTAAGGGAATAGCTTTACGCATAGCCCGACGGGGATAATTTTGCAGATATCAAAGAAAATTTTTAACGTAGTACCCATCAGTAACGTGCTGCGTGTTGTGTTTTAGTCACTTTTCTCCCTTCAAATAAACCCCAAGTTCAACCCGGGTTAAAATATGAAGCTCTGATAGCGGGAGATGATTCCCTGAAGTATTTCAGGGTGAAAGAGACGTCAATCGAGGCAGGAGATAAGGTTCTTTTATCAGTGTCCTGGCAGAAAATGTATTCCGCGCGCTGCCGTCGATAATATAAATCTACGCTTGAAATCTTTCGCGATAAATTGTTGAAATTTTTGTTCGGGGAAGATTTATTACTTGACAATTTCTCAAAGTTCGTAATGTCAATTAATCATATTGTTCGCAACACATGACATTATGTAATATCATCTATACAATTTCGTGGCTGTGAGCCATAAAGTTTTAGGTTACAGCTGATATATATGTAATTTGTTTAAATATCAAATATTATAATATGTACATAATAATAAAAATATAATATTTTTGGAAATTAAATATCATTACATTTCAAAATAAATCTAAAATTAATTCATCACTCACGGTTAAATAAGAGATCACTTCTTCCTATTTTTTCACGGAATTTCAGAATAAAACTTATTTCAAACAATCTATAATTCGATATATCTATAATTCAAAATATACAGGACAGAATTTTATTTATAATTTTATCTGCCATTTAATATAAAAACATTTAAAAATCAATATATAATATATACGAAATATATAAAATACGTGCGACGTATGTGTAAGATCATAAATAGAATTCTATTTTGAAATCCGATTCGAATTATAGATTACCGTTTAAGGCAGATTCAAGACGCAAATAGTGCATTGTTTCCTTTTACCTCTATCGTGACGTGAAGTTTCAACCAGCGAAATGCAAATGTTCACAGCGATACGTGGGAAGATATTTGTGACATTGCAAAGTGCGTAAATAAAATCTTTTACTTTTATCGACCAACCTTTTAACATTTTAACGAAATGGGATTTTCCAGTCCGCGTTCCCGATGATGTTTTATTCCCGCGTAATTTTGTAACATTTGCATATGGTCTAAACTAAATAACATAACTAAATTTCAACGCGATAAATCCCGTAAGTTCCTATCGGGCGAATTATAGCGCGTCACGTACGCATCACCCTCCCCTGCTGTACGGGCCAATTCGGAGTTTGAAATTTCACGAAATATATACGACATCATTTCCGAGCTAATTAATGTTGCCGGGATTACGACACGCGAATCGCTAGCGTGTTGAGCTTGCAGCATGCAAGCATACTTAATTTCTCCGGGCACCAGCCGGTTACTCGCGCGGTAGGGAGCCTGCACCCAGCTAGGGTTGGACGCTCACAACCTGATTTATCGTGTAAGCTTCGTGCATTCACCCTCCGGCGAAGTCCACCTGGCAGGAACGCGCAATCGATAGTAACTGGCGCAGGTAAACCGCGAAAGCGGCCGCAAATCGGTGATTCCGTATACTCGGATACTTAAATCCATCGTAAATCACGATACGAAAGCGAAATAAAAGTCATGGATCACGACCTACGGTGTGCAAATTTAACGAGGCACTTAAAGCCGAGGGGTTAATTCGAGTAACGCGAGGCAGGGCTCCTCCTCCTCCTCCTCCCCCTCTCCCCCTCCTCCCGATGTATTAGAGAGCCGTTAAAAAAATCTCGTCGTCCCGCATCTCGCGTATCTCGCATGGGGAAGAAAGAAAAGCAATATCGACATATCGAGATTTCCGGTCGAGTGCTCCTCGAAAAAATTTATTTAATTACGCGACTCGAGCTCGTGAGATTCGCAATTACTGTATTACCGAGGTAAAGACAATAAAGATAACAAAATTCAGATAACATAAAATATTTCTTCTTTTTAACCCTTTAAAAATATCAAAATGCGCCTCTGCAACCACCGAAGTATGTGGGACGACGGGTATTGATTTCTCATTCGCAGCGCGAATGTCACGAAATAAATTCTTCGAAAAACTGTCGGCGGGGGGGGGAGGGGAGGAATCACGCTGTAGCGGAAAATTAATAGTTTATACATACGCGGAAGGGATGCGCATAATAACGAGGTACACGCTACTCGAGTGCCTACGTCGCGCGGCGGGAGAACCTCTCGAGATGTACGGTAAACGTTATATGGTATACGTTATCCTAAGTCGAACGTCGAACCAGGCCGTGGAACATAATACAATGGACGTCGGGCGGCAATTAATGCTAAATTATTCCTCGCCGGCGTTGCAAAAAAAAAAACGCATAATAACGACGCCCGTCAGATGTACGTTAGATCTTAATTGATGGACAAGAATATCGGCTGAGGGATCGTCGTCTCTCCCCTTCTTTTAGACGAAAAAGAACGATAAGCTCGCAGCGCTAAACGAATCACTATACTGCGTGTTATTCTGCTAATTCCTCAAACTGTAAGGTATTTGGGTCGCGGAATATAAAAAGAACGGACGTAAAAGGAAAACGTCGTCGTAAAATGTCTAATAAAGCAAGTTCCGGCGACGTGGAAGCTGTATAATCAATTATCAAGTTTTATTACCATATGTCCCATTTGTTATATGCGATGTAGTAACGTTGAAATTTTTGTATTTTATATGTTTAACTGGAGATAATTTTGCATTTTGTATTTAAAAGAAATATAAAAAATACATCGCGCATTAATTTTCGACGTGTATACAGCCGGAGGGTTTTTTTTTATCGAAGCCGGATCCAGACCGAATGCGAGCGAATAGCAAATAGTTGTGAATAGTTTGCATTTATTTCCTTCTAAATCCGGCTTTGTGTTGCAAGCGGAAAAAATCAATATTGCAACGTGTCGAAAATAAACATTTAAAATTTATCCTTTGCAGGTGTGCAGTTCATTAAGGATTGCCCTAAAGAGCCGTACATTCCTGTGTACATGCTGATCGGCGGGGTTCTGGGCGCCGTCCGTATGTTCTGGGCGCTCTACTCGCTGATACAATCCCGGAGGCCGGAGGTCCTGTCCGTTCCCGCTGTCAGGCCACACGTCTCGCCTATGAAATTACTCTCCATAGCTTTATCGTGCTTCCTGGTCGCGTGGTTCGTGTTAGGTGAGCAAGAAATTTCGTCTGGAAATTGTTACGAGACGTAGTGCTATATTCCGCGCCGGGGCGACCGCGGCGCCGCGAACTTTTCGAAGCGTTAAAGCCGCAAGAGGATTTATCCCAATGAGTGCGGAGCGTGAGTCAGATTAGGAGAACACATGTTTCATAATACTCGGCTCTATGATTTTATAACAACTTTATGCACACGTAATTAAATATTGGAGGATCATGATTTTGTACGAGATAGAGCAAGTTATAAATAAAAATAATGACAAAATTAGTAATTCCTATTATTAAAAAAAATTTTTTATAACCAATTAAATAGTTTTATCTTTTATCTCTTTGCTTTCCACTGTTTCTTTTGTTTTTATTTCATTACTTTAATTATTTACACATTTCGTTATATTTCAGCAACAAAATTAGCAGCTCCTATTATTTTGACATTTTTTTAATAACTAATTAAGGTGGATTTATCGCTCGACGCTAACTCAATAGTGTAACGTTATCACATAAACTTCACACAACCGCATATGTATAGTCTATGCGAAATGTTTTTATTGAATTACGTTTGTTTTTATTGAATTAATAGTCATATGGAGGGACTTTTGACTGGGACTTGCTCGATAAAACCATCTTAATTAGTTTTATCTTATCTCTTTGCTTTTCACTGTTTCTTTTGTTTTTATTTCATTACTTTAATTACTTACACACTTCGTTATACTTTAGCAATAAAATTAGCAACTCCTATTATTTTGACATTTTTTACAACCAATTAAATAGTTTTATCTTATCTCTTTGCTTTTCACTGTTTCTTTTGTTTTTATTTCATTACTTTAATTACTTACACACTTCGTTATACTTTAGCAATAAAATTAGCAACTCCTATTATTTTGACATTTTTTACAACCAATTAAATAGTTTTATCTTATCTCTTTGCTTTCCACTGTTTCTTTTGTTTTTATTTCATTACTTTAATTACTTACACATTTCGTTATACTTCAGCAATGAAATTAGCAGCTCCTATTATTTTGACATTTTTTATAACCAATTAAATAGTTTTATCTTATCTCTTTACTTTCCTCTGTTTCTTTTGTTTTTATTTCATTACTTTAATTACTAACACACTTCGTTATACGTCAGCAATATAAAATTAGTAACTCTTATTATTTTGCCATTTTTTATAATCAATTAAATAGTTTTATCTTATCTCTTTGCTTTCCACTGTTTCTTTTGTTTTTATTTCATTACTTTAATTACTTATACATTTCGTTATGTTTCAACAATAAAATTAGCAACTTTTATCATTTTTTGTAACCAATAGTTTTTATCTTCATATCTCTTACCTCTTTGCTTTCCACTGTTCCTTTTGTTTTATTTCATTATTTTAATTACTCACACATTTCGTTATACTTCAACAATAAATTAATTTTATTACGCTATATTTTATACTTTTTAGATAAAATTTTCTGAGATAAAATTCGCGAACATAATAAAAATCTTGTGCGGTACTGGATCTGGATGTAAGGACTTTCAAGAACTTTAAATGAACGAAACAGCGTATAAAGCTCGAGAAACAATTCCGTCGCGATGTTATTACGATTGTTTCGTAAATTGCAGCGGGTATTATGTTTAACTTCCTTACATGTTGGTCTTAATTGCGCAGTGCTTTCCCATGTTACCGTGTTACGAGGGAATTTTTACGTTGACGAAAATATCGGTCGAGTGGCTGAGCTTTGCTTATGTTTGCACGTTGCAATGGACGGTTTTAACGGCCTGTCCTATCTTTAGCGATAAATGGATCGATATTAAAGTATCGCAAAAGTGCGCTTTAATAGCGTCGCTATTAATTCCCACATACATGTACAGTTGTTTTCAATTTTTATAAATTATGGGTATATTATAAAACATCATGTACATAACTCATTAGATTTATAAATTGATTATTTCTTTTTCTATTTTTCATTTACACTCAATTTTTATTAAGAACAACACCTAATACGGACTCACGTGAAATGGCAAAGAACGCGAAGCATTGGAAGTGCGCACGTAAATCCATAAGTATGCGAGGGAAAATTTTGTGATTACAAAAAGCTTATGGTTTATGACGATTTAACTGTTCGTGACCAGGCACTGTCGTGTAGTATTTACATTTCGTGCGGCGCGCCAATTCGTACGGCGAAACACGACAGCTGGTTGGTCGGAATACAGGACGAAATTGTAGGCTGTTTAAATCACTTAGCATTTTTGTCACGTTATTACGAAAATTATTATAGTTATTATAGTTATTGAAAATTTTTGGGCTCGATATTTAAGCACAAGATTCTGGTCGTGCCGAGGTGAATACGAGATAAAATTTGTCTATGTATATTTTGAAAAAAATATTTCGGCGAGCTAATGTGATAATATAAAATAATTTGATAATATAAGCTAAATAGCTCGATAATATTCTGTGACGCTCCTCCTCTTATCGTTTAGATTTTAAGTCGGTTAATTAATTCCCACGCTCATCGTCGTTGTTTTTTATCCTTTTTGTTTTAGGACATTACTGGATACTGCATATAATGTGGCCGGAATACGAACTTTCGTTGTACGCGCCCAATAGGTGGTGTCACAAGACGCTCTATATCTTTTCTTTGGTTCACCTGTGCATAGTGTACGCGGTTTTATTTGTAATATTAATAGTGTCAGTCGGTCTGGCTTTCTGCAGAATTTTGGAGTGCCCTTTACCAGAAAGGTAAGTTGATTTTTGGGAACTTGAAACGATTAATTTGTCCAACTAGAATTTCAGATTCAATTGCATTAATAGCGAAATAATACTTAGAATAAATCGAGTGATATTACTTGATTTACTCTAACAAAATACATCTTTAAGGCATAAAACTTTTAAGGAAGATATTTAATAATTATTTATACAAGAGATTTAAACTTCGATTATCCTCGTGTGAGTTTTCGTAAACTTTAAAATTTCGGTTTATTCATTGCAGAAAATATATAGCCTAATAAAAACTTTCTAAAAAAATCTTTCTAAAAGTTTTTCTTGTGATTTACGAATATTGCTCATAACGAAAATAACGCGCGGTGTTGACCCAATTCTCGTAGAATTGATGATGGGAACTACTTTGGGAAACCCGATGAAAAATATTTTGTCCCGGCGCGCGGCGCGTATTCAATCTGCGTACGTTACAACATTCGATACATTTGGAGAGCTGAGTAGTAAGGGTCGTGTAACGCGAGGATCATATAAACGCGCACCGATCAGGTTCCTATCGTCGGCGAAATGTGAATATCATTCGCAGCTCGTGTTGCGTGCCCAATATGTAATAATGACGTGATTAGAGTATTCGCGGCGATTAAATACACTGCACAGTGCGTTACAAAAACGCTTGCTTTCGCAAAAATACCCGTATCGCAATTTGGTCGTTTTTATTTCGCACACAGCACACACACACACACACACACACACAGCACACACACACACAGCACACACACACACAGCACACACACACACAGCACACACACACACACACACACACACACACAAATAGCAAATGCTTAACTCATTGAAATCCGTGGTATCCAATGATCGTTAACGAAAAGTAACAAAAAATATTTCCTGAATCGATACGTTTTTCGCGACAAGCATCCTTCATTCAATCTACTCACGGATCATATACGTATCAGAGAGGGTAAAATAAGATAGGATAAACTTTATACATAAGGCAACGAACTCACGATCGATAAGAGCATACTCACGCTCCAGAGCGCGCCCGTTTTGCTCGACTTTCAGATACAAATAACCACGGCGATCCGTTCGCCAGAATAAAATCCGTGAGAAGAAGAAAAAGAAGTTGGCGGTCGGCAGCGGAGTTGGCGGCTGGGCTTTCGACGGGCGCAAGGTTCTCGAGGATCTGCAGGAGGAGGAGGACGACGACGAGGACGGCGACGGTACGCAGAGCGACGTTGACCTGGACGAGGAGAATTGCGGCGGCAAGATCGTGCAGGAGATGAAGTATTGCAGCAAAGTGCAGTTTCGCGCGCCGGATATCATCGAGCTGTGATGAATAAACGATGCTCTCGCGACGGAAGGAATAGGAGGCGCGGGGAAGGGGACGGCGGAAGGACTCCGGAGACGGGACGCCGGGATGCAGAGAAGCGACTCGTAATCTTGAAAACTTTCCCGCGCTAACGAGGACGGTAGCCGCGGGGCACAGGATCTGCGAGATGAAAGGGGGCGAATGGTAGAAAGGAAATGGATAACGAGGTCGTGAAAGGAACGGAAGCTGCCGAAGGTCAACGAGAGAGGGTGTATTGCTTTCGTGAATAATCTGTGAGGTCTCGACACGTGCGTGCCACCCGGGTGTCCTTGCATTTTCCGCCGAGGGTGAAATCCACGTGAGGGAAAGCACATCAAAAGCCGAGGTATCCGGAATCGATCGCGAAGAAATTATCTCACGGCGACGGTTAACAATGGAGTGAAAGCGTGTAACTGTGACTCGATTTATCCCAATTAATTCGTAGAATATGAGAGAAGGAAGTAAATCCCGTGGTAATATTCGAACAACGTTGAGCGCGGCACGGCGAAAATGGATAATCTTCAGCGACACGATCCCTTCTACATGTAAATTAAAACATTGGCGTCGAGCTCTTATTGTTGTTTTCACGGGAAGATACGCGTGGCAGGGAGTTTACATGATTTCACGGATTTGAAACCAGATTCCGACGCGCGATAAGGGAAATCCGCAGCGACGAAAGGAAACAGAATGGAAACTTTTATCGGTGAAAAAAGATTACCCGGTGGAATGCTTGTGGAAATGATACTGGATCCGACGGACGTCTTCCTCGCAGGAGCGGAGAATATTTTCCGAAGGATTTCGTCTCCCCTGGTGCGCCGTGGTATCGATTTAAGTCGCGTTCCTGGCCGCGGTCTGGCAGAAATCGATACGGAGACCTCCACTCGTATCAAAACAAGGATCTCCGATTCGTCGCTCTCGCAAATATAACACCACTGCTCGTCTCTCTTTGCACGCGCCAATTAAACGCAGAAAATTGAATTTCGTGGCACGTACATAACTTGATTGAATTAGAACGGCCGAGCGATATATTATCTTCTTTTCCCCTGGAAAACATTTTGCCAAGGAACGTCGTTTTAAAATATCGATTCAGTGTGAATAATTGCCAGATCCGCTATCATCGATCTTCCGATTATTTAATTCGCCCGACCAACGAATATAACAGCACGTTGATTTTCTCTCTGACTTTTATTAACTTACTGTGTAACTTCCAACACGAATATAAATAAGCTAAAAAAATATATATATTTCTTCTTATTCCACTAAATAACTACGGAAATACTTTGACCAATATAAACGTTTCTCTAAATAAATCTACTCCGCAAGACTTCTTGACAGTTGGAGATCTCGAGTTCGACATTCGTTAATTCTCCCACACATAGATACACCTCGGTGGAAAACGCGACGCGCAACTCGACGAACCACACGTTTGAAGACCGCCACGAAGTTGAGGAAAATTCGCGGAAATTCTACCGACTACAGTTTTACGACGGGCGTAACACGCCTCGCGTGAAGTTGTGGATCGCCCGAACGTGAAGAACTTGCGATTTTGCGGAATTCCGCGTTATTATTTCGAACGCCTGATGAAGAAGCGAAGGAAAAAAAAAACGGAATGAAAATCCGACACACCGGGGAGGTATGAAACCAGGTATCGACTTATCGAGCGGTGACGACGGACGGTGGCGATGGCGACAGCGACAACGACGACGACGACGACGACGACGTGTTCCTGCCAACCGACACGACGCGCAAATCCGCTTCATCGAATCAAGTCTGGCGAAAATAATCACGGCGATTGGACCACGGCAACTGAGTTCCTCTGTTCGTTTTATAGTGATTGGCAGTGATAGCAATATTATTTGTCCCGATCACACGACGCGCTCTCTGTTTCCGAAGATAATACTCGTGCGAAATTTCACGTGCGAGAGAGAAGTACGCAATTTAATGCTCGCCCGCGAGAATACACGGCTGCAATTCGTAAGCGTGTTCAAGTTTTCGGTCGTTTCTCTTCCGATCGTATCGAGCGTCGGCCGAAGGTAAGTGGATCTGATTAAGGATGAAGTAGAACATTGAACATGAAGTGGAATGTAAACTGGAGGAGACCATCTTATTTTCACTTCGTTTCTCGTCTCTCTCTAAGCCAAATTGTAAAAACCGTTCAAAAAACTTTTCAAATCGATCTTTTTTTTCCAGGAAACTATAGATAATTTAAATAACAGAGGCGTTCAATCTTTGCGTTTTGTACAAAAAATTTGTAACATGACTTTCCGCTTTATTATTCGTTCCAATCGCTATCGCGATTAAATCGCTTCTTGCAGCCTTCATTTAAAATTTGATTGTGATCGGACTATAAAAAAACGTGTCGCGTCGAAACTCTCTCAAAAGAAACCAAACGCACTTCGGAGCGTGTATAGCTGCTAGCTGCGTCCTGGGAAAAAAAGTTCCACATATAATTATATATAATTATATGCAAAATATGTCCATATGTTTCTTTCTTTTGTAAAATTATTCTGTAATACAAAATTGATAATAATAAGAAGGAAACATAAAAAATAATTGAAAAAATAATTTTTACATTGTTTTTTTTTTTACAAAAAAATCAAGTTTGAAGAAATAAGAAAAATTGTTTATATATAATTATATATATGTATATTTTTAATCACTTATATATAATTATATATGAGTAATTTTTCTCATTTCTTTAAACTTTATTTTTTGTAAAAAAAAACAATGTAAAAAATATTCTTGTAATTATTTTTTATGTTTCCTACTTATTATTATCAATTTTGTATTAAAGAATAATTTTACAAAGGAAAGAAACATATATGGACATATTTTGCATATAATTATATATAATTATATATGGAACTTTTTTTCCTGGGGTACTATATCGATTAATACAACAATCTCAACACGCTCAACTAATTAATATATTCGCGGTAAAATTTTTCGACCTTAGAAGACATTTTGTTACAGATGCCACACACATATACCTACTACACAGATATATAGACTTGCACACGCGTATTACTTTTTTACAAACATTTGTACCGAACGTGACGTGTTAATCCACAGATCTATACCGTACTCGTCTCGTTCTTCGAATTCCACACGAGATAAAAATAGCACGATTCTCGCGTTCGAGGAATGGCGCAATTAACGGGATAGAAGTTAACGAACCAATTATAAAATGATAAGCCCGAATTGTTCTCAGTGAAATTTCATCTCGGTTCAACGCCCAAATTCTTCTTTTTCCGACAATTACCTGGTTTTTTGACAAGATTACTTTTCGATCATTTTTCATAAAAGAAGAAAGAAAAGGTGACGAAAGCGTAAGAAGGAGGATTCAGCGAAAGCGATTGTATCGAGCATGCTGATTTCGTATAGGAATGATAAACGAAGAGGATAACAGAGCGAGTCGAGCCAAAGTTGAAAGCTTCTGCTTCAAATAAGATGTAAAAACTGATGGGGTACGATCAGAATGCAGATTAAATTGAACGAAAGTAGGTCAGTGAGCGGGTTTTCTGAGTAAAAATGCGATTCACTCCGCGATATCCCTTTCAATCGTAGATATTACATGCGTAGAAAAATTCCGACGTTATAAAAGTTATTAGTTATTTAACGAAACGGTACGCGTGTAAAAAATACAACGGTATAAAAATACTGTCGAATGTATAAATTCTCGTAAATACCGTTACTCTCTCCATTCATATAGAGAAAACTTAAAAACGCAGAACGTGTCGCACAAATTTTGAGAGGGAATCAAAAAAACTCGCTCCCGAATTTACAAAAACTCGTCGCGGTATATCCGACACCTGAAACTCACTGCTTCAACTTACACAATGAAATTAATAATAACTTACACGTCTCTAAATTTGGAGGCTTTATAATTAGGCTGAAACGCCGGTTACCTACATTTCGTTTACGTCGACATACCGTGTGATGCGCGTTATGCACGGCGTCTCGAACATCCTGCGTAAAAGGATTCGATCCAGGTGTTGTCCTTTTACGATTACGACGCGACTGATCGCGCCTCAGTGCAAAAACATGTCGAAGAAAAAAAAATAGATCCGAAGAGAGAAAAGGATAGAGAGAGAGAGAGAGAGAGAGAGAGAGAGAGAGAGAGAAAAGGAGAGGAAAGAAACAATGCGTCAATTAAATCAGCAACGTCAGACAAGCTGCTTCGCTCCAAGCGTTGAGTGCGAGGGCGTCTCGCGCGAGGGCTGATTTTTGCATTATACGTAAGTAGATACCGCGAGCAGTGATTGTAGACATATAAAGATCAAGATCGTGAAACACTCAACTGTCTAACGTTAACGAAAAAATTCCATTCGCGGACGCGCGTGCTCAAACCCAATATCGCGACAGAAGGCACAGCACGTATATTTTTGCACGGTGATACATTTGTATTAACGTTCGTTTAAGCCGAATGTTCTTGTCAGTTCTAACGCGATCCGACTGTTTGGGAGGATAATTTGTATAGGTTTTTATATAGAAATATAAAGCCAATATCTGATCCGTGAAACATTAAACACGTAATACCGTACGTGAATATTTTGTTCTTTATGTACCTATAGTCACTGTGTACCGGGTCACACGAGTAAATGCCTTTTAAGCGGAACGTAAAAGCGACAGCATTTACTCGTATGACGCACATTGTGCGTGTAAATATAGATATACTCGTACGAGAATAAGTGTAATTTCTCCGATAAAATTAAAAAAAAAATAAAAAATCTGACCAAACGCAGCGATAGGCGATCCATGAGGATGAAAAGCGCTTCAACGGCCATTAATTTCTGCTTCAGGTAATCATCGTTCTTGTGTTTGCACCTGCAACTGCTACAAAAACGGGTCCACACTTGATTTGTTACTAGATAAATACGAATAAATAAATACGGTGATTGTGTCGTAATTAAGGCTGGTAGCTCAGCTCGTCAGCAGTGTGCACACGTGAAAACGTAAAATAAATCTCCGCTGGGAACGCGCCTTCCACGATATTTCCATACCTCGACGTTTATTCGTTTACCATTATTTCAACGAATCCCATTTCGATTGAAAATCGAATGGACGCTAGAAAACGAGAGAATACGCTTTTACCATTCTTTATTTGTCGCATAAATTACTGAATAAAATAATCTAAAATAATAAAGGTAATGCTGCGGTCGGAAATGTAAAGTACATAATTATTTGATTATGTCATTCTTTAACGAAAACTAATTAAGATTGTATCGATTGATATCGAAAGCATGGTTCGCGCTTGCTTTAATATATATATCATGAACAAAATGTTGCCGCTGATTTTTCTTTGTGAGACGCGTAACATTTTTCGTTTTGATAAAATTAAACAATAAAATAATGCATTATCTTATGACGTCGGGCGGCGCGGAAGTTTCAATGGAATGGAAATTGTGACAGATAACAGTTAAATTGAGGTTTTGTCTGTGTATTTGTAAAAATGCGATGCTATCACAGCTGGTTTCATAAAAACAACGACCATACGTCACAGTCAAACGTGACAGCTACGGATATAAATCATATGATAGGCAGAGGGACACGAGGGACATGCATACATATGAATCTCACGTGTGACTGAAGGAAATTCTGGACAAGTTTGAACGTGTGAATATTTGAATGTAAAAGTGACCCAATTCCCCAGCATACAAATGTATGAATATGATCATATTGAGTTAAACTCACTAAGTTTTGTCCTACAACGACTGAACGACTCGCAAAGAGCATACAGAAATAATTCAATTATCGAAGTAATACTTTAACGATTTACCCTCTTCCTTTTTTTTCTTCTTCTTCTTCTTTTTCTTCTTGACATTTACGGGACATTTATTGTTGTGAATCGTCTTTTCACCGCCCAATTTACTGGCAAACGCGCTCACGCTGTTCGCACGATATTACCGTGGTATATCGCGGCATTACATTTGATGTAAAATTCGGACGGGGGAAACCGCACTGAATGCAAAATGTGCGGCGGTGGATGCGGAGATCCGTCTTAGATCGTTGAAATTACGCGATGCTGCAGTTCTCACTCGCGCGCTGCACAATGACCGACAGTAAATTGCGCATCGATTTTCATTGGCGAAAATTCGACGGCTGTTCCCGGCTTTGCGGTATCTGCACCGAGGCAGACGGCCGGGATTCTAGATGCGAAAGGGCAGAGGACGAGGGAAAGATACGAATCGCGGCGGTGCGCAGCGGTTGTACAACATCAAACCGCCGCATTCTATGTTATCCTGATATCCCGAGGGAACCAATTTGAAAATGAGGAAGCTAAATTCATTTTAATGAAATGAAATTTTAAATGGACATATAAAATACGTGTATATTAAGCTTCAATTTAATCGACAGATAATTGATAATTATCTTTTTCCTGCATGCAAAGAGAGATATTAAAAAATGCGAACCATGCGCTTTGATTAATCGGCAATCTAAAGTTTTTACTTTATGTATTATTAAATAATATATGATACGTACGTTACAATACGTTAATAATGGTAAAACTGAAATAAAATACATTTCTTGATAAATCACAATATTTATTCGACTCTGCATTCGCGCGTGTGCAATCATATAAGCGTTCTTAGCAAACAAACGTACAAACGTCAACGAATGTGGAAATCAGTAAATTAGAAAAATTACAACGAGAAAGAGAGAGAGAGAGAGAGAAAGAGAAAATATGTGTGCGTATTGTGAGAATACCATTGACCCGTCCGCGATCAATTCTTGATTGCTTAATCGTGATTAATTGCGATTTAGGGCTGTCTATAAGGATAATCGATCAGTACAGTGCGTCCTGTATGTAGCGTGTGTCGTATGTGAGCAAGTGTTGTTGATTAACTATCTAGGTTACCATCAACGCCGTTCATGTCCGGTATCATTGATGCATGCACGTGCGCGCGCGTGTGTGTGTGTGTGTGTGTGTGCGTGCGTGCGTGAACACGAGTGATAATACTGATAATGATAACGCTACAATGGAAGACCTGGATCTTGATTTTTGGAGCTATCTCTTAATTGCGTTGCCGGAGATATATATTCCACCCTTGAAAAAAGAAATATATATATATATAACAGTTATTTTGTTATCGAGATTTCTCCAAAAATTCGCGCGGACCGGTTTACATCCGTTCCTGAAACGCCGTTAGAAAAATTTGGATACCATTTCAGGACGAACAACTCGCCGAAAAACACGACAAAGAATCGCGATTCATTCCCGATTTAGAATTAATTAGCGTGTTAATCGCTTAGTGAGAGACAGTGACCTGACCTTTCGTTCGTTCCATTGGTACTATCGTTCGCACGACGTCATGTGTTTTTTTGTCTTCGCGTAGGAACAAGTCTATATTACGATGCCTAAGCTGATTATAATAAAAATATACGAGAGACGCATATAGGATATATCTATATATTATAATGATATATCGGACGGTTACAGATGATATTTTG